GAGACCTCGAACGTAGGTCGTGCGAGGGGTAGCAGGGGGAAGAGTGGAGGAAGTGGATGCACAAGCGGCGCGGGGCATCCCAGATGGGGGAGAGACAGGTGGCGCTGCGGTCGTGCGAAGGGGGGGGAGGAGCGGGGCACCCGGAAACGCTGAGACCATGGTAACGGGTTGTGGTCCCGTGGCCGTCGTAACCGGAATCTGGGCCGGTGCGCCCGTAGACTGAGGAAGGGCCTGACTCGTGGCGGCCGTCGAGCTAGGGGCGTGGACGGTCACCAAAATAGCCGGGTCGGGGGCGACAGAATAGGAAACTCCGCCGTGGCCACCCTGTCGGAGAACTGGGGACCCGGACTGAGAGCCAGGAGAAGAGAGAGGATGAGGAGAGGAAGGACGACCAGCGTCCTGGAGTTGATGCACGCCGGCGGCAAGGGTCGCCACCTGCGCCTGTAAGGGCCCGAGGGTCGCGAGTTGCGCCTGGATGGGCGCGAGGGTCGCGAGTTGCGCCTGGATGGGTGCAAGGAGGGAGGTGAGGAGGGTGTGTAGATCCCCCTGGGGCTGATGGCCCTGGTCCGCCGGCACGGGTGTGGAACCCGATGCCGTGGTCATCGCCGTGTCGACGGCGTGTGACGCACCGTCGGCCATGACGAGATGACGGACCGGACTGGAGGGGGCCAGAAGAGGTCCGCGTGAGCTGTTCGACCGCCTAGCAGGCAACCGCTTCTTTACGAAGATTGATCTGTGTAGCGGTTACCATCAGATCCTCGTCGGTGCAGCCGACCAGCCGAAGACCGCGTTTCAATCGCGATTCGGCCACTACGAGTTCACAGTGATGCCATTCGGCCTCACCAACGCACCCGCTACCTTCCAGAGGGCGATGAACGACATTTTCAGGGACATCCTGGAGCAGTACGTTCTCGTCTACCTCGACGATATCCTGGTCTATAGTCGTACCCTTGAGGAGCACCTCAGACACCTCCGCGATGCCCTTGACCGCTTGCGCAGACATGGCTTCTACGCCAAGCTAAGCAAGTCCCGCTTTGCCCAGCACAAAGTGGATTTCTTAGGACACTACGTGTCTGACTAGGGTCTCCACATGGACGACGCGAAGATCACTGCTATTGCGGAGTGGCCCTCTCCCACATCCGCCAAGCAGCTTCGCAGCTTCCTAGCCTGACTAGCTACCATAGTAACTTCATCCGGGGATACGCTAGGTATTCCTACGTCCTTACCTCCACCCTCATCCGGAAGAACCCACCCTGGGCTTGGATACCCCTCCACGAGGACGCCTTCCACACCCTCAAGAAGGCGGTGACATACGCACCGGTTCTTCACCTACCCGATTTTGACCGCCCTTTTATCCTTACCACCGATGTGTCAAACTTCGTTGTAGGAGCAGTGTTTTCTCAGGTCTTCCCCTCATCTCCTGATTCCTCTCATCCTCGTATCCCTCGCTTCCCACCACCTACCCCTACCACTGCTTCCCGACTAACGCCTATTTGTCTAGCTACTGACGAGCCTTCTATTGACTATTCTCCTACCATCGCCGAGGACGGCACTGTCGAGTCTCGCTCAGGTGATTGTCGATAGCCTTCTACTCCCGTCAGCTCCTGCCCGCCGAGATAAACTACACTGCTGATGAACGTGAGGTTCTCGCAGTAGTTTATGCCGCTCGGCACTGGCGTCACTACCTGCACGGGGCACCATTCACTGTGCGCACGGACAACTCTGTTGTCCAGGCTTTTCTGACAAAGCCGAAGCTCACTCCTCGACAGGCTCGCTGGTGGCGCGACCTATCCGAGTTTAG